AGAGGTGGTATGCACAAAATATTTATTTTGTTTTTAGTTCAAAAATGGCCTGGTAACAGATTTGGCAGTGCAGTTCTATATATTAGGGTGGGCAAAATGCAGGATGCAGGCCACATGCAATCCTTCCAAGCTGGTTTGGTTTGGTTTCCTTTCATTTCTTTTCATTTCTTTTTGTTCCGTTTCTTTTCTTTTTCCTGCAATTCCTCATATTCCCCACAAAATATGTAAACTTCTTAGAAACTGACATCTGAGTTTATTGGACTGCTTGCTACTTTCTTTAACAACCTGCTGATTAGGCATCACAGAACTACAGAGGTGGGATTCTCTGATGCCCAGCCGGTGAAATTATTAAAAGAAGAAGATGCAGATGACACTTTTAAAAAACAAATTGCAAGAATTTCTGAGAGACACAATATGGTAGTAATGGGAAACTTCAGTTATCCTGATATCTGTTGGGAGACAAATTTTGCCAAACATGGACCTTCCAAGGAATTCCCAGCTTGTGTGGCCGATAACTTTCTCCTATAAAAAGTGGAGGAGGAAACCAGGAGAGTAACTATCCTGAAATTTATCCTAACCAATCAAGATGACTTGGTGGAAAAATTCACAACAAGAAGAAATGTGGGGGAAAGTGGTCATGTTCTTCTTGAGTCTGTGATTTCAAAAGAAACAGAAGCGTATAGCCATACATAGGCACCGGGCTTTAAGAAAACCAATTTTAATAAACTCAGAACAATGATAGGCAAGGTCCCATGTCAGGAAATCCTAACAGGAAAAGGAGTCCAAGATGGATGGAAGCTTAAAAAAAGGAAATTCGAAAGGCATAACTACAAACAATTCCAACAAGAAAAAAAGATGGATGGCAGCAGAAAAAATATCAACGTGGCTTCACAAAAAGCTCAGAGAGGACCTGAAAAGAAAAAAAGACACATATAGGAAGGAAGGCCATACAAAAGTGCTTATATATTCTTCCAGGCGAATGTGAAGTACAAAGGGGATAGGATTGCAGTTTGAGATTGATAAACAAACAGTCTAGGAGTACCTTACTACTTTAGATTAGTTCAAATCTCTGGGCCAGATGAACTGCATGAATATTTTAAAAACTGTCTGAAGAGATTGCAGAACCACTATTCTTTTCTTGAAATCATGGAGGATTGGTGAAGTATCAGATTATTGGAGGAGAGCTAATGTTGTCACAGTCTTCTAAAAGGAGGAACTAGGGAACTATTGACTGGTCAGCCTGACATCAATCCCAGGGAAAATTCTGGAGCAGCTTTTAAAGCAGTCACTCTCAAGCACCTTGAAAACAATGCAGTAATAACTAGAAGTCAACATGATTTGTCAAGAGCAAATTGTGCCAGACTAATCTTAGCTCTCTCTCTCTCTCTCTCTCTCTCTCTCTCTCTTTTTTTTTTTTTTTTTTGGTTACTTCCCTGGTACACCATGGTGGGAATGCTGTAGACATAATATATCTCAACTTCAGCAAAGCCTTTGACAAAGTGCCCCATAAGTTCTGATTTGCAAGCTAACTAGATGTGGGCTGGATAGAACAAATGTCAGGTGGACACACGGTTGGTTACAGACTCATACTCAGAGAGTGCTTATTCATGGCTCCTTCTTAAACTGGGAGAAGGTAACAAGTGGGGTTCCCTAAGGCTCATTCCTGGGCCCAATGCTCTTCAACATTTATTAATGACTTGGGAATGCAGGGATTACTTATCAGATTATAACTGATGCCTTGGAAGACAGGAACAAAATCCAAAAAGATCTTGATAGGTTTGATCATTGGGCTGGAAACAACAGAATGAAACTTAACAGGGATAAGTGCAAGGTTCTACACGCCGGGGGGAAAACTAAATGCACAGTTACAAGATGAGATACTTGGCTCAGTAATACTATGACTGACATGGATCTTGGAATTGTTGTAGATCAAAAGCTGAATGTGAGCCAACAGTGCAACATGACTGCAAAAAAGGCAAATAGTATTTTAGGTTGCATTAACAGTAACCTCCAAATCCATCCCATGTGGTATTAGGCAAATCGTATTTTTGGTTGCATTAACAGAAGTGTAACCTCCAAATCCATCCCATGTGGTATTAGTCCCCTCTGTTCAGCACTGCTTAGGCCTCATCTCAAATACTGTGTCCAGATCTGGATAGCACACTTTAAGAAGGATGCCAACAAACTGGCGCAAGTTTAGAGGAAGGCAACAAGGATGATTGGGGAGCTGGAAACTAAGCCCTATGAGGAAAAACTGAAAGAACTAGGCATGTTTAGCCTTGAGAAAAGAAGACTGAGGGAGAGATACGATAGCAAATGCTTGAAAGATATTCATACAGAGGAGGGGTAGTATCTGTTCCCGATCATCCCAGAATGCAGGACATGTAATAATAACCCAGATTTAGGTTGAATATCAGGAACTTCAGAACTGTAGAGCAGTATAACAGTGGAACGAATTACCTCAGAACGCTCCGGTGCTGGACACATTCAAGAGAAAATTGGGCCACCATGATCTGTTTAGATGCTTAGAGTGTGGCATAATCACATGAACTCTGAGGTTGTACAGTATGTAGATCTCTTTAGATGCTTAGAGTGTGGCAGGATCACATGAACTCTGAGGTTGTACAGTATGGATGTTCTGAAATAACCAAAGCAAAATGTGCGGTTTGTATACCAGCACATGACACTTAAAGCATTCTCTGGGCAGTTTATAATTTAATTATTCAAGTCACCCATTGCATAACTAGTTGGGGCAGCTATTGTAGAGATGGATCTCGAGGGAGCTGGCTTTTCTGCCCTGAGGAACTCTGGAAATAATCTTGCACAGAATAGTTCAAGGAATTTGAAGCTCTTTTATTCCAGCATAGTGAAGCTGATACATTTCCCATTGTTCTAAATATTACAGTATTGGGCAAATTAGTAGTATGGAAACACTGCAAAATGTTGAACTTCAGTGATAATTGTGAGAGAGGTTTCAGAGAAACAGCAGGTTGCAGTTAAAATAAAATGGATCAGGTTCTAATAGCTTGTAGCCTTTCTGAACAGATGAAATTATTTTATATAAAGATTTGTGTTTATTATCCTCCCCTCGTAGTTGGTCATTTAGTTTTCCTTTGACTACTGTATTCTGTAATCTTTTATTGTCCATTGCTGCCATCTTAATTGTTAGAGTTGTTGTCTTTCTATATTATATTATATATTTGGATTGGGTGAGATTTGTTTAGTATTTGTATGTCTATTTTATTGGTGGAAACCGCCCAGAGTGGTGGAAAGGCCATTAGATGGTGCGGTTGGTTTTTGTATGTTTATTTTATTGGTAGAAACCGCCCAGAGTGGTGGCAAGGCCATTAGATGGTACGGTATAATATAATATACTGTAATCTGTTACAGAAGGTAAATTTCTGCCATCCTGTTCCTGAAGGTGTTTTTCTGCCTATTTCTGGAGTTTAAGCTACAGAGATCAACCAAAGAGGCCAGTTACATAAAATGTCATCCCATAGAAAGGTCTCATGAGATTCCATAACCTGAAACTAATGAAAGACATACCTTCAAACGTGGGAACAGTTGAAATCAGATGGATTATCACTCAGTACTGGAAATTCTTCTGACCAGATCCGGCCTCCTGAGGTGCATTTCCTAGTACTATGGTTGCTAATTGAGACAGCAAGAATGGCTGTTACCAAAAAAACTTAGTGACCATCGACTTTGGTAGGGGTGGATTTGTGTTCCGGTCCATTACATTTTCTTTGTTGAGGGTGGCCATCTTCCAAAACTGACTAGAATAAGAAGTGTAGCATCTTAGTAAATGAGCATGAATCGATTCACTTGGCAGTCTGTTACTGAGCATACAACAGTGTACATTCTTTGCCTAGATGTGAATGACTATTTGGATATCTGTTGTTGTGACTTAGGTCTCTGATAGCATTCAAACATGTAATTTGATTTCCCATCTTGTATGGGAACACAAGAAGCTGCTTTATACTGAGTGAGACCAGCGGTCCGCCTAGATCTGTATTGTCCATTCTAATTGAC